AGCCCAACGGACACTAACCCACCCAATTGAAAAGCTCATGGGTGTCATGTGGAGGCGAGGGCTGGTGAATGTGTTGATGCGTAAATACGTTGGTTCGCAAGTGCGTGAGCGTGAGAAGAGCATGGGGGGGGAGCGCACCTCGTCAATGAAGATGACGGTGGGCGCCACCTTCTCCGCCAGGGTGAAGAGCGCCCTCACGTTCTTCTCATCCTCGCCGAACCACTGCACACCACGCACCACGACACCACATCAGTGAGCGCTCACTACAAATTACAAATTTCGTCAACCAAGAGAATAAACAAAGAGCCGCCCACCTTGGAGGTGGTGGACATGGACACGTTGATGAAGCTCACCTTGGAGGTGATGGTGGACATGGACACGTTGATGAAGCTCACCTTGGAGGTGATGGTGGCCATGGACACGTTGATGAAGCTCACCTTGGAGGTGATGGTGGCCATGGACACGTTGATGAAGCTCACCTTGGAGGTGATGGTGGCCATGGACACGTTGATGAAGCTCACCTTGGAGGTGATGGTGGCCATGGACACGTTGATGAAGCTCACCTTGGAGGTGATGGTGGCCATGGACACGTTGATGAAGCTCACCTTGGAGGTGATGGTGGCCATGGACACGTTGATGAAGCTCACCTTGGAGGTGATGGTGGCCATGGACACGTTGATGAAGCTCACCTTGGAGGTGATGGTGGCCATGGACACGTTGATGAAGCTCACCTTGGAGGTGATGGTGGCCATGGACACGTTGATGAAGCTCACCTTGGAGGTGATGGTGGCCATGGACACGTTGATGAAGCTCACCTTGGAGGTGATGGTGGCCATGGACACGTTGATGAAGCTCACCTTGGAGGTGATGGTGGCCATGGACACGTTGATGAAGCTCACCTTGGAGGTGATGGTGGCCATGGACACGTTGATGAAGCTCACCTTGGAGGTGATGGTGGCCATGGACACGTTGATGAAGCTCGCCCCACACTCCGTGGCCACTGCCTTGGCTAGCATCGTCTTGCCCGTGCCCGGCGGGCCAAACAGCAGAATGCCCTTGCACGCCTGCCACCACCAGCAAGCAGCACGCGTCAGAAGCACTCAACACATGAAAACCGCAAGTGAGGCTGAAGGAAGGGAAAGAAGCGGAAGAACAAAGTGCAGGCTGTCCGCTCACCTGCAGCAGACAAAAAAGTGGAAGATCTCACCTGCAGCAGGCCGCCCTTGTTGAAGATCTCGGGGTGCTTGAGCGGCACGAGCACGAGCTCCCTCAGCGACTCCTTGACGCTCTCCAGGGCGCCGATGGACTCAAACGTCACGCCGATGCTCCCCGGCGCCAGGATCTCCGGGCGGATGCGCTTCTCAAAGTCGTTGTCGTCCTGCCCACCCCACGCCGGCAGAAACCCCAATTTAGCAAAACCACGCGAGCTTGGAAGGCACGAGGTGGGAGCGGGGAGCATGATGCAATGAGGAGTTGTTTGTTTGTGAACTTACAGACGCTGCTGCCGGGGCAGGGGCAGGGGCCGGAGCTGGCTTTTTAGGCGTGGCCACCTTGGGAGAGGCGGCCTTGGCAGCAAGTGCCTCTGCTGCTCTGGGCGTCTTCACCGCGTCGCCTCTGGGCGTGCTCACCTTGGAGCCTCCGCCCTCATCGCCCTTGGGGATGCCAACACGCAGCACTGCCTTGTGCACCGCCACTGGCTCCTTGCCCTGCCCCACCTGCTCCAACACAGAGATGAGTCAGCTTGAGTCGGCTTGAGTCAGCTTGAGTCAGCTTGAGTCAGCTCGTCAGGATTGAAGATGTTACCTGGCCGTTGGTGACGGCGGTCTTCTCATGGCACGCACCATCCTCATCGAAGAAGAGACTCAGCGAGTACTCCAGCCTGCACGCAGTGCAGTGCAGTGCAGTGAATGGACATCACATGCTGTCAGCGCCGTCAGCGCCGTGCCACGGATGAGCACCATGAAAGGCGGGCGGCAAGGAGGCACACGCACCTGTCCCGTGTGACGTGCAGCTGTGCGTTGGTGCGGCCGGCAAGCATCTGCTCCGACAGGGCCATGTTGATGATGTCCTGCACCTCTGCACGCCCACGCACCACACAGAACCGATTAGAAAGTTCCTTGACCGGGCTACGTGAATCCTCTGCGTGCACAGGGAGCAGCGCAGCGTACCATCGGCCGTGAGGGCGGCCGTGAAGTTGAAGCGCGCGTCTGCAACGTCCTCATCCCACGTCACCTTGCGCGCCTTGAGCGCCTGCACGCCGAAACGAATGACAAAACGTGAGGCTACTTGTAGGAGTAGCACCATCAACGAAAAGGGCGCTGCGATGTGAAAGCTGACATTGAATTCCCGCACGCACCAGGAAGATGGCCTGCAGGTTCCTCTCGCACACCATGTAGTGACTCTGCTCCTGCAGCATCGCCTCCCATGCCCGCACCTGCTCACTCTCCTGCACGCACACATCACAAGTCACTCGTCTCGTCAGCACCCTCTGAGAGGCTGTCAGCCTGACCATGGAAAAGTCACTCAGCAGGCTGGCTGGCGTACCTTGGGAGCGCGCACTTCCACATCGGAGTAAGATGCTGCGTGCACGTCCTGTGCACATCAACATGCATGCATGGTGGTTAAGCCGGTTGCCACGGATATCCATCAGCAAGAGAAATGGCAAACAGAATCAGGTTGAGAGCAGGGAGGCAGATGTGCTGCGCTGGGCTGACCTCGCAGGCGGCAGTGCAGGAGGCAACGACGAGCACGCCGTGGGGGCCCTCCACCCGCTTCGCCAGGGCCTGAGCCAGCGCTGCCGCACAGCCATCCGCGCTCGCCACCAGGCAGACCACTGGGCGCGCACGAGAGGTCCTCGAGATGGCCTGCGGAAGAATAAAACAACGAGACTTTGAGAATGATTTCTCTTTCGTAGGTGGAGCAGATGGGCATTCAAGGGCGGATGAGATGACTCGTAGCTCACCTGCAGCGTCGCAGCTGCATCCCCTTTCTCCGTGAAGTAGGCGAAGCCCGACCCTGCCATGGCAAGGACGACATTCCATGTAAGCGCGAGCATGACGCAGGGAGAGATGTCCCAGCACGTACAAGCCAGAGAGATGTCCCAGCACGTACAAGCCAGTGTACGGACCACCCAGGACGGGTTGAAGCAGCGGAATGCTCACCTCCAGTCCAGATCGCGGGCTTGCTGCGGCTGCTCGACGCACCCCGCCAGTACGACCTCTGCTGCACACACACGGACAACCGGCTTTGCAAGTACGTGAGTAAGGAGAAGCGTTGACGGATACAAGGGCCTGCGCGGCAAGAAAGATCCGAAGTCGCACCTGCGAGATGAGGTGCACCAAGGACGCGTCGAGGAGGAAGAGGGCGGCGTCGAACTTCTTGGCGAGCCCCTTGCACAGCTCCGCCTGGTACCGCACCGACCCTGCACCCCGCTCCGCACACCCGCCGCTCGTCAGTCACGCGCACGAAACGAATCAAGATAAAGCAGAAGCACACGAGAAGCACAAAAAAGGCTCCAATCCGATCCGATCCGATCCGCGGCGACATGCGATGCGAGGGGTACCTTCGGGGCCTCGCACGGTGATGGAGTGGGACCGCTTGGAAGCGCCCTCGCGAAGGAACGTCCTCCCGGCCGACGCCGTGAGCAGCTCGCGCGTCTTCTTGCTGCGAGACGACACACGAACGTGAGTCAGATTCGACGCCTTGAATTGCAGATTAATCAAACACGAATGGCAGGAGGGCAAAGAGGCTGACTTGAGGAAGAAGGGGAAGTCGTCGAGCGACGTCGCGATCTCCGCGGGCAGCCACGCCACAACGCCCTCCATCGCCTTCGACGCTTTCGCAGAAGCCGAGTCGGAACGGGAATTAGTAGCCTCCTTCCCCGCGCCGCCCGCAGTCACGACCGCCGCGGTGCGCGAGAGCGCCCCGCTGGAAAACGCAGCGACGCCTGCGGCGACGAGCGCTGACGTCACCACGACGGCCGTGCACGTCGCGGCACCCGCGGCCTGAGAGAGCTCCATCGCAACGCGGAGTGCGCGGCGGAGAGAGTGCGATGCGAGTTAAGGAGGTGACGCGGTATGGACGTCTCTCAGCCGTGCGGCGGTGAGCGTGCGGTGGAGGGGACGGAGAGCCTCTCAGGCTCCGACGGTCCGCTGAGTGCGTGTTGGGTGCGCTTGGGTTGCGATCACAATGGCCGCAGCAAGAACGGCAGGTTATAAGGTTCCCACAAGGCAGCACGGTCCCGCTCCACGGCTGCGCTGTTGCGGCCTGAAGGAGGGTGGCGGGTGCTCCATGCCCGGGCGCGCCAGCACGCCATGGGCTGTTGGAAGCTTGCTGCGGTGGCGCATTGAGAATGCCGAAAACACTCCAGCTTTCTCCCTGCTGAATGCTCTCCAGTTAGCTGCTGACTGCTTGGCAGTCGAGCCATGGATCATCCAACCTTGATTGCTCCCCTGCTCTGCTGCCAAACCTCCTCACCTCATGCTCGTGTTGCAATGCAACTTCCAGACCTCCTCGGGCATTGTCGTTCCAACCTGCTCGTTGCCATGACGGGAGCTGTGAATTCATGGCGGCTCGTATGCTGACTCGTGTTTGGGCCATGATTGGTTGAGATTTTGGTGGGAGACGTTCCAGTAGCGAAATCTCGACGTCTGCGTGGCACCACATTGGCTGAAACTTGGGGAGCTCCGTCCTCAATAGTAGCTCTATTCTTACAGGAAAATCCTCTACACTTTAGAAGTGAGTATAGGCAGACTAACCATATATTGCTGCCAAATGGTTGGTCCCGTCACGAGTGCAAAAAGCCTAGGTTTCCCCCAACCTCCTCCTTTCATGCGACAGATGTTCGCCTCGACCACGTTCGTCTCTCGCGATACCCTCCAGCGCGGCTTCTAGCTACCGAACGTCTCGCCATTGCTGACTGCACCCAGGGCAAACATCCCCTGTGCTGGGTCGTAGGCGAAACTTGTTGCGCGCGAGTCGTAGGGCGGATTTAGTCGCGTATGCGAATGGCGGAGAGCAGTCCCGTGAGTGATAGCAGCACGCCTTTGGGCTCTGATGACGAACCGAATGTCGCATGCGGTCGCAGGCGGCATCGCGTGCTGATGGTGTGCGACTTCTTCTTCCCCAACTTCGGCGGCGTGGAGAGCCACATCTACCTGCTCGCGCAGTGCCTGCTGCAGCGCGGCCACAAGGTGACGTCACGCCCGCCTGTAGCGCCGCCACAAGGTGACGCCCGCGCGCATGGGGTCCCAATGCCGCCACGCCAAGTGAACGACTTTTGCTCTTCGGGGTCGCAGCCGTGCCCGCGTTGAGCCACACACTTCAACCCCTCCCTGCGCGCCCTGCCGTGCCGCAGGTGGTGGTGCTGACGCACGCGTATGGCGACCGAGTGGGGGTGCGCTACCTCACCAACGGCCTCAAGGTCTACTACGCGCCGCGCCGCCCCGTGTGGCTGCAGGTGAGAGCCGTGTGGCTGCAGGTGAGAGCCGTGTGGCTACAGGTGAGAGCCACTCGTGCAGGCACATTGTCCCCTTTACCATTCGACTGGCACTGCTGCTGCCCATTGTCCCCTTTATTCCGCTCACCTCGGCTCAATCCACCTATTTCTCTCGTCGCTCGTCACTGCCTCTCCTGCACGGGCACTGTGTACAGGGGCGGTGGTCACATCCCATGCCACGCCTTTCTCCCACCCGCTCCTGCCGCCCACCACCCCCATCCACCCCACGCCAGGCCACGCCCCCCTCGCCACTCCCCTGCCTGTCGCTGCCGCTGTTCCGCGCCATAGTGGAGCGCGAGCGCATCGCCATCGTGCACGCGCACCAGAGCTTCGCCCCCATGTGCCACGACGCCCTCCTGCACGCCCCCACGCTCGCCCGCCGCGCCGTCTTCACTGACCACTCGCTCTGCGGCTTCGCTGACGCCGCCAGCATCCACATGAACAAGGTGCCACGAGGGGGGAAGGACGTGCATGGTGGGTGGGTGGGTGGGTGGGTGGGTGGTGAGATGCACGACGAGGCATGGCGTGTGGTGCAGCAGCAGCGTGGTGGCGGGTGCAGCGGCGCCCTGCTCTGCTCGTATTGCAGCGAGTGCACTCCGCTCTGCTCGTATTGCAGCGAGTGCACTCCGCTTCTGCCTCCCACTTCCTCTCGCCCCTCCCGCCCTCCCTTTCCCCCCTTCCTCCCCCCCCACAGCTGCTGCAGTTCTCAACGGCGGGCATCCACGCGGCCATCTGTGTGTCGCACACGAGCAAGGAGAACACCGTGCTGCGCGCCGCGCCCTCGCTGCCGCCGCACCGCGTGGCCGTCATCCCCAACGCCGTCGACGCCAACAACTTCCTCCCCGACCCCACCCGCTGCCCCCCGCCCCCTTTCCCTGCTGCCGCTGCCCCTGCTGCTGCCGCTGCTGCCGGGGAAGCGGTTGCTGTTGCAAGTGCTGGTGTGCGCAGTGAGAGAGGAGGGAGAGCGGCAGGGGAGGATGGAGAAGGTGGTGGTGAGAACACAGGCGGTGCACACGATGGGCGCGCTGCCATGGCGTGCAGGGCTGCAGCTGGTGAGGCGACATCGGGAGCAGAGGGCGCGGCAGAGGGGGCAGTGGGCCGCAGAGAGGCAGTGGGGGCTGGCGAGAGAGAGGAAGAGGCAGACATGGAGGGAGGGGCGAGGGACGTGGCGGAGGCAGCAGCAGCAAGCACAGTGGCATCCACACCACACCTGGCAGCAAGTGAGGTGGCGGGGAGGGTGGGGGCGGCAGGAGCAGGAGGGCACAGCAGCATGGCGGTGGAGGCAGGGCGGGACGTGGCAGGCAGCACGGGGAATGGCGTGGAGGCGAGGGAGGGGTTGGGGTTGGGGGCGGGTGGGGAGATGGAGGTGGTGATAGTGGTGATCAGCCGCCTCGTGTACCGCAAGGGCGCTGACCTGCTCGTTGACGTCATCCCCGCCGTCTGCCACCGCTTCCCCAAGGTGCCACCGCTTCCCCAAGGTGCCACTGCGTGTGTGTGTGTCCCCGCTGCTGCTCATGGTGGGCGGACGTGCCTTGTGCTTGTCATGCTCCTGCTCGCCTGTGGTCATGGTGGCCCACTCACATGGTGGCCCACTCACATGGTGGCCCACTCACATGGTGGCCCACTCACATGGTGGCCCACTCGCATGGTGGCCCACTCACATGGTGGCCCACTCACATGGTGGCCCACTCACATGGTGGCCCACTCACATGCACTCACATGCACTCACTCTGCTGTAGCATCCTCTCTCTCAACATGCACGCTATGTCTCTGTGTCTATGCCACCATGCGCCCGTGGTGTCTGTGCATGCGTGCGTGCGTGCGTGCACCTGTGTATGTGTGTGCATACGTGCGCCATGCATCACCCACCAGGTGCGGTGGATAATAGGCGGGGACGGCGCCAAGAGGGGGCGGCTGGAGGAGATGAGGGACCGCCACGGGCTGCACCACCGCGTCACCATGCTGGGCGCCGTGCCGCACTCCCAAGTGCGCGACGTGCTCATCCAGGGCCACATCTTCCTCAACAGGTGCTCATCTTCCTCAACAGGTGCTCATCTTCCTTAACAGGTGCTCATCTTCCTCAACAGGTGCTCATCTTCCTCAACAGGTGCTCATCTTCCTCAACAGGTGCTCATCTTCCTCAACAGGTGCTCATCCACGGCCACATCACATCGCGCCCCTCACATCGCGCCCCTCACATCTCGCCCCTCACATCTCGCCCCAAATGTCGCCCCCCCTGGCCCCACCAGCTCGCTGACGGAGGCCTTCTGCATCGCCATCCTCGAGGCCGCCTGCTGCGGCCTCTTCGTCGTCGCCACGCGTGTTGGCGGCGTGCCCGAGGTGAGACGAGGTGAGAGGAGGGGAGGTGAGGGGAGATGAGGTGAGGGGAGATGAGGTGAGGGGAGATGAGGTGAGGGGAGATGAGGTGAGGGGAGGCGAGGCGAGGTGATGGGAGGAGAGATGAGGTGACAAGAAAGAGTGTCGCCACGCCCTGCCTTTTATACCCCACTGCTCCGCCTCCTCTGACGTGCCAACCATCGCGCTCATTCCTTGGTGACTGCCCTCCCTCCCTTGCCCTCCCTCCCTTGCCCTCCCTCCCACATTCTCCTCGCTCTGCTCCCTCACATGCATGTCCCTCATTTTGTCCCTCCCACTCCTTCCACACCTGTCTCTCACCACGTGCCCTCATCCCCCCGTTCCCCTCCCCCACGCCCGCCGTCCTCCTCCCCCCCCCCCCCCAGGTGCTCCCCCCGGACATGATGCTGCTGGCGGACCCCAACCCGCCTGACATCGTCAACGCCATCGCACAGGCCATTCAGATCGTGCCACGTGTCAACCCCCAGGCCATGCACGAGAGGGTGCGTGTGTGCGCAGTTGACAGAAACGTGCCGTGCTCACAGCGTTGCTCACAGCGTTACTCTCCGCCGTGTGTGTCATGACAGCCGCTGCACTGCACCGCCAGACTGGGCTGTTCCCGTGGAAGCACTCCACGCTGACGTCATGCCACCACCACACCTTGTGACTGGCACTGCGTGCCGCGCCCACGTATTCATGCCCCACACCACCCCTCTCTCTGCTGTCATATCGCATCCCATGCACAACTGCCATGCTCACGGCGTCTCACCTATTAGCACATACTCATCCCTTCCCCCCCAACGCCCTTCCCACATGCACCTGCCATGGCCCCCACCCCGCTGCCCCCCACCCCGCTGCCCCCCACCCCGCTGCCCCCCACCCCGCGTCTCCCGCCACACGCATCGCCTATTTGCACCGTGTGCGCACGCATGCATGGGGGGGCGGGCAGGTGTCGCGCATGTACAGCTGGCACGACGTGGCGGAGCGCACGGAGCGCGTGTACGACCGCGTCATGGCCATGCCGCTTGATGACCTGCCCACCCGCCTCTCCAGGTGCCCCCACGCCTCTCCAGGTGCCCCCACGCCTCTCCCTGCCTTGCTGTCACCTGAGAGGACTCCACTGTCGATGCTGTGCCTCTCACGCACCTGCCTCACTGGATTCCACATGGCAGCGCTGATCCCATGTTGCATCGCTGTCACGTGCACGCGGTGCGGTGCAGGTACTATGCGTGTGGGGTGGTGGCGGGCAAGCTGTTCTGCCTCGTCGTGCTGCTCAACTCGCTGCTCGCCGCCCTCCTCGCCCTCCTGCAGGTACTCCCCTCGCCCTCCTGCAGGTACTCCCCTCGCTCCCCCACTTCCCACCCTCCCACTTCCCTCCCTCCCCTTCCTCCCCCCCTCCCCTCGCTCCCTTCACGCCCCTCACTCTCTTCACACCCCTCGTTCCCTTCATGCCCCTCGCTCGCACCCTCTTCTTGTTGCTACCAACCTCTCCGCGCACCGCCTCCATCCATGATTGCGTGCCCCCACCCCCCCACCACCTCTCTGCCACACCACCGCACCGCACCGCACCGCATGGTGGAGGGCAGCCGGAGCAGCACATGGAGGTGGCGCCTGACTTCCCCCGCATGCCCACCGCACACCTGGCAGCGCCGCCGCCACCTGCCTCTCGTGCGCGCCCAGCGTGATTCCCGTGCCCCGCCCAGCGTGATTCCCGTGCCCTGCCTCACCGACGCCACTGGGGATGCCAGTCACACGGCTTGTGCACACCACCATGATGACTTGGCTTGTGCACACCACCATGATGACTTGGCTTGTGCACACCACCATGCTGACTTGGCGTGTGCACACCACCATGATGACTTGGCCACCCTGCCTGTCCCAAGCTCTCTTAACTTGAACTTGAAGGTGCCTCTGCGTGGCCGGCTGTTGCGCTGCCTCTTCATATACCGTCAAGTGCCTGCCTGCAAGATATATAACCCCAACCAACCGTCTTATGACATCTTCTAGAAGAACCAAGCAAGCTTGTGCTAGCCTGGGCTCCCGTGCTGCTGTCACATCACATCCTTGCACTGCGCGTCACTCCTCCCTCTTTCCATCGTTGGCCAGCCAGCCTGGCAGCTCCGTTAGCGGATTCAAGTGGTTGGGCTGAGGTGGGCCCTCAGGTACAGCACATACTGCTGATCCATCGCTCTGTTAGTCCTGTCAAAGCTGAGTCCATCTCAATTCAAGTCGTCTTTAAGCATGGTTTTTTATTTCTACGTCTAAATCATTTGTAGTATGTAACTTGCCATGGACAGAGCTTGACTTTGGTTACAACCAGCCTGCTGCAGAAAATTATGAAGATAAATTTTCATGGAACACGTAACAATCAGCAAACCAAGTACATATTATTATATACTTATCTCTTGTCAAACCATGCTTTATTATACTACAGACTACTCATAATCTACTTGACAACAGCGACGCCTAATCCAGCCCCAGCGTAGCCCATGTGCGCACTCCACGTCGCGTACTCGCCCCGAGCCCTCACCTGGCCATTACCCAGGCGATTTCTGGTTGCCAGCTGGCGCGAAAGGCACTCCTGCGCCCACCGCATGCTCTCCTCCCTCCCTTACCGCATCGCTTCTCATGCCACGGCGCGTCTACCCGGCGCCAGTCTTGCCGTCCGTTTTTCCTCTTCCGCGCAGCATCTTCCGTTGCGACTGCGGGGGCGCGGCGTCGCCGTCAGCGGCGGTAACGTCGAAGCCGAAGGCGTTGGAGCACGAGAGGCGCTCCCAGCACGACAGGTACACCGGCACGCCCGCCTCGTCGCTCACCCAGCTGCCGTACGTCTCGGCGGCGGGCGACCACTTGATGCACTTGGACTGCTCGCGCCCCGCGCCCATCCACCCCACGTACTCGTCGTACGCTGCCTCGTTATAGTCCTTCTCGCCGAGCACCTCCAGGGTTCCATTTCCGTGCTGCGTGGTGTTCGCCAGTTCACCGTACACCTGCGCGCTGCTCAGTCCTTCGCACGCTGAGGAGTTGGCGAAAGACGGTAACCCGTCAAGGTCTGTGACTCGCAACACGCTGTCGAATTTGTGTTCGGAGTCGCAGAAGTCTGTCTCGCTGTAGATGTACCACGTGCGAAGGCAGTCCGACGGCGCGTTGGCGAAGACGGAGCACTCGTAGAAGCAGAAGTTGTGAGCCGCTGCTGGTGTCGCGAGAATGGCGGCCACAAGGGCAAATGAAACGACCACTGTGAGCGTTGCGGATTGTCGAACAGTACCCATGCCTATCTCGCACGATGGTGCACTATGGTCGGAAGGAAATGGCGGTCAGGCGCTATAGCTATGCTTTTCGTCTGACGGTCTCAAGGATCTGGTCACAGCGCTGGGTGTTATCGCAAAGCTCTACTGGTCAGCAGAGAGACGAGGATGGCAGCTCAACGGATAGCTAAAAATTGGTGCTCTCGGATTGCTGTTGTGGTTGGGTTCCCAGGAATCGGTGGTGCTTTAGAGGCGCTGGGATGGCTTTTCTCAACAAGAGCTTTTCGCAGCGATGGCTTTTCGCAGCGATGGCTTTTCCTCAGCATCTCTTCGCTCTCGCATTCTGTAAATTGGCCATGCATTGCAATTTGCAGCCTCTCTCCCGCCTTCCAGAACAGTAGTGTTCTCTCTTCCGTTCGGGACTCGCGGCTCGGCTGCAAGCGAATGCGATTCCAGGCAAACTTCAAGCACAAGTGGTTACTGCAGGTACGCAGCGCATACAGCATGCCAATTGGCATGCCGAGCCGAGTGTTGTGTGGGGTTTGGATGCAGCGAAAGCGAAATTACAACGGGTACTGATACTCTAAAAAGCTTTACTTTCCACATTATGCAATCATAAAATAATTATCGAGCCCTAATATGTCACCTATCTATACCACAGTTAAGACTGAGAATGTCTCTGCATGTTTACAGTGTACTCACATTCACCAAAAGAAATTCATCTATCTATACCCCGCAGCCCAAGATGTACAGGTTTAGTGAACTTGATCAGCGGGATTCACAATGGCTAGAGGTTCGGAAGACAAGCGTGGAGGAATCTGATATGATACAGTGCCAATATTTTAATATCAGAAATACAAACAACAGAATAAAAGGAACTTGCAAGGGTTGGATACAAATAGCAAACCCTAACAAGCATGTACTACATATGTGAGAGTACGACGGCTTACCGTATGCTGACTTTGCTAGCTTGCTTGGACTTCATTATGCCATTACTAGCTTATGTTTATTTTATCTTGCATGTTTATGCTTGATTCCTAGGTTAGGTGCATTCCGATATGTTATTATAGTTATTGCTACGATCAGAAGTTGATCGTTCCCAGGATCTACTCGGGAAGGTTCGCACAGAGAAAATGAAGTTGGTGGGCCCTTGACCTCAATAGCAGAGTGAATGTAAAATGCTTGAGATGAAATAAAACATGCAAATACAGCAAATATAAATATGAGTACAGGGAAGGCGAAACGTCCTAGCTAGCCATGTACTCTAAGGGGTACATTCCCTTATTCAAATTCATTCCCAACCGTGCGGCGCGTACAGTTACGAAACTGTTCCCGCCAAAGCCATCCTGCCTGCAGCTGTCCGATGCCATCTGCTCCGACGGTCCAGATGCAGCTTAACCGTCTGACGCTTCGAGTCAACTCTGACTCTTCGTGTTCATTCTCAATACTACATGCTTCCTTTGCTGCGGTGAGGAGTGCACAGTAATGAACAAATATTACTATTCGTAACACCCCCCTTCACTCCTGGCCGTAGCTCGACTTGACCTGCTTGACCACGCCGCTGAGTTCAGAGTAGTGCTGATACTGCTGGCGTGGTAGTCGCTTCGTGAGGAAGTCCGCTGCCATGTCACCGGTCGGGCAATAGGTCAAGTTGACCTTGCCCTTGTCTACTTCGTCCTTCACGAAGAAGTACCGCAGCGCAATGTGCTTGGTGCGGTTAACGAAACCAGGTTTGTTCGCGATCCGAATCGCGCTCTGGTTGTCGCAGTGAAGACGAAAGGTGGGCGAAGCTGGAATTTTCGCCTCCTGCAGGAGTTCCTGCAAGTAGAGTCCTTCGCGAACTGCTGCGGTTGCTGCGATGAATTCCGCTTCGGCTGATGACAGGGCAACCAGTTCCTGCTTCTGCGAGTTCCAGGAGATTGGTCCCGTTGGTTCGAGTCGGAACAGGAAGCCAGTCCTGGACCGTCGATTGTCGGGATCTGCTGCATGATCGGCATCCACGTAGCCGATGAGGTTGAAGGATGGGGTTGGTGAAGTTGAATAGCACAGTCCAATCTTGGGCGTTGAGACGAGGTACTGCATGGCGCGCTGCAGATCCAGAAGGTTCTCAGCCGTTGGTTTGCGTGAGTACTGGGCCAGCTGACTTGCGATGTAGGAGAGATCTGGCCTGCAGGTGACGGAGGCGAAGAGCAGGCATCCCAGCTGCTGCTGGTAAGTCTGGATTCCAGCAGGGGGTAGGGCTTTGTTGTCAGGTTTGTGGTTCGGTCCAGGGGTTCGGTAGGGAGTTGAGAGAGGTGCAGGTGAAATGTTGAACCTCTTCCCTAACTCCTCTGCGTACTTAGCCGCTGAGAGGTGAATGGCCTCAGGCGCGTAGGAGATGTTGAGGCCTAAGAACTGCTTCACCTCATAGTTGCATGTGATGTCGACGCGCCCCGCTAGGGCTTTCTCGAACTGCTCGAGTAGCTCATTGTTTGAGCCTGTGTAGAGCAAGTCGTCGACGTAGACCGTGAGGAGGATGTTTTCGCCCCGGAATTCGCGGCGGTACATCCCTCGATCGTGCGGCATCTGCTTGAATCCGATTTCAAGCAGGATGTTGTGTAGGTACTGCTGCCACAGCCTCGGCGCCTGCTTGATCCCGTAGAGTGACTTGCGCAGTTGGCACACGCGCGAGTCCCCTTCACCGTATGTATGCGGCTGCTCCACGTAAATCACGGCGTCTACTAGCGCGTATAGGAACGCATTCTTGACGTCGATCTGGCGGAGAGGTAGGTGCCTTGCAGCTGCGATGACGAGTAGGATTCGAACCGAGGTGTGACGGCTGACTGGAGCAAACGTCTGGTCGAAGTCAATCCCGTGCCTCTGGTCGTAGCCGCGCACTACCCAGCGCGCCTTGAAGCGCTCGATCGTTCCGTCTGCTGCGGTCTTCACGCGGAAGACCCACTTGCCCGAGAGGATTCTTGCGCCTTTTGTCACAAGGAACGAACAGGAATGATTGAACTAGCAGTGAAATGAGTACAAGTACCTAACCTTAGAATTGTGTACCCCCTAAAGGCTAACCCACTGTAGCCTAAACAACCACAACATATATAATGTTTGACACACCCCCATAGGCAAAGTGGGGGAGAACAAGGGGTCACAAGACCAGTCAGAGCAAAGCAAAGCACAAGCAAGCTCAGGGTGGATCTCAAGGGATACCACACAAATTCTGAGCACAAGCAAGTGGTCACAAGACCAGTTCACATGCAGTTTGATAATATAGCAAGAGGTACAGTGATCACAACCTAGCAAGTGAAAGCATGCAGGTATATATATAGGGATCACAGTACAAGCAAAGTCAAGAAGTAAGCAAGTGAGGTCCAGTAGGCACAAGGCCTAGAAGAGTACAGAAGCGCTGATGGTCACAAGGCTGAAGCGCCTTGGTGAACACGTCAGCAGTGTTGGCCTGAGTGGCCACGTAACGCAGACAAAGCTGACCACGCTGCTGCAGCTCTCGAGCCAGAAAGTACCGCAGAGCGATGTGCTTCGTTCTGTGCTCCAGTCTGTGCTCCTCACACAAGGCAATGGCAGCCTTGTTGTCGACGTACAGCACTGGAGGAGAACGAGGCCGCTCTCCCAAGTCGGTCAGCAGGTAGGTTAGCCAGCGTAGCTCCTGGGCGGCCATGGCTGTGGCGTAGATCTCAGCCTCACAACTGGAGCTGAGAACTGAAGAAGAACGTGTAGAACGCCAAGAAACTGAACCAGAGCCAAGGCTGAAGGTGTAACCCTGAGACGACCGCTGAGTGGCCTGGTCGTCCGCCCAAGAAGCGTCTGAGTGCCCTGTGAGAACAACTCGGTCTCGCCCTCCAAGCACTAGCCCCATGCCCGACGTACTGCACAAGTAGCGCAACACCCTCTTAGCGGCATCCATGTGCTCCTTCCGGTGACGGCCAGGAGCGACATAGCGTGCAAGGATGCTAAGAGGGTATGCAAGGTCAGGTCGAGTGCAGGTCATCAGGTACATGAGGCAGCCCACAAGCTCTGGATACGGGCCACTCGGCTCTACGGACTCATCCGAAGGCAGAGCTGAGAGCGAGTGACCGGTAGGCAGAGGAGTGGACTGAGGCGAGGAGTACGTAAAGCGGAAGCGCTGAAGGACCTGCTGCACCATGTGTGACTGAGTCAAGGTAATGGTGCGCCGTGCTCTGTCCCGGGTGATCCGCAAGCCAAGATAGCTTGTTAGTTCACCCAGGTCTGTGCACGTGTGTCTCTTCTGCAGCTCGGACTTCACGTGGGCGAGAGCCTCAGTGTCAGCAGTGGCAAAGACCAAGTCGTCGACGTACACGAGGATGTAGAACGGCGGCAGCGAAGCGTCGGTGCGCAGAAACAGCGACGGGTCAGCAGTAGAAGGCGCGAACCCAAGTGCCGCAAGTGTCGTCCTCAGTGTGTCGTGCCACTCACGTGGTGCCTGGCGGAGACCGTAGACTGGCCGCCGGAGGCTCCACTGGGTACCAGGAGGAAACGACCCAGTGAAGCCAGGAGGGCGGCGCAGCCAGATCTCCTCGTGCAGGCTACCCTGCAAGAAAGCAGTGCTGAAGTCGTTTAGCCCATCTCTGCGTCCCTACTCCTTTCAGTGGCAGACAGCCATGGAAGCAGGCTACCCAGAGAAGCTCGTAGTCGCGCTGAGCGGCTATGTGCAGCAGCACCCGAAGAGTGGTCATCTTCGGGTTGGGGGAGAAGGTCTGGAAGAAGTCGACTCCCTCACGCTGACTGAAGCCTCGAGCAACGTAACGCGCCTTGAAGACAGGCGGAGAACCCGGCGGCCGCTTCACCCTGAAAATCCACATGCCACTGACGATGTTCGCCCCTGGTGGGGGAACCTCGTCGACGTAGGTGCCTGTGGACTTCCAGGAAGCCATCTCTGCGTCCATGGCTGTCTGCCACTGAGAGGAGTAGGGACCCGCTATCGCCTCTGCGTAAGAGCGCGGGGTCGGGATGTCTGGTGCATCCGGGTCTCCCTCAGGGGCAACTAGCATGGACACGAGATGAGGCAAAGCAGCAGCAAAGCACTGGAACTCCTCCTGCCTGTCCTCAAGGACGTCCGTGCCAAGAGCACACTCACCCCCGACGGACGGAGGACAGACAGACTCAGACGCAGCAACTAGGCTAGCGGCGTAGTCTAGACGACAAGCGGCAGCAAAGTCAACTAACTCAGCGACGAGAGCAGACGCAGCAGAGGACTCAAAGGTAGGGTCAGTGACAACTGTAGCGAGGAGACGCGTGACAGTAGGACGGGCAGCACGAAGGGAGTCAGACTCCGGGTCAGCAAGAGTAGGAAGAGAGGACGTAGGAGGAGACGGCAGAGGGACACGCTGAGGAGCAGTGGAGGGACGCAGAGTCATGTAGTGAGTGCCAGGGACAGGAGGAGGACGCTCACGCGGGACACGACGACCAGTGCGAGCAGCACGAACAGGCGACGTAGAGCGAGACGCAGGCGACACAGGACGAGACTCAGGCTCACGACGCTCCGTAAGACCTCTTGTGGGACCAGTGTAAGGAGAAGGACCAGGGAGCGGCGAGGCAGGCGGTAACTGTGACGGTGACTGGACAGGCGGAGGACACTCTAAGGAGGGAGCAGGACAAGGAGGAGGAGGCTGACCAAGAACCTGCTGAAGGAGCGGAACGAAGTACGGCCGGGGCCGCGTAGCGACTCCAGAACCAGTAGAGACACCACCAGCACCCGCAGCAGCTCCAGCAGCGCCAGCTCCAGGGTCCTCAGCACCAGAAGTAGCCCCAACTCCAGGGTCCGCAGCACCAGCAGCAGCTCCAACGTCAGGGTCCGCAGCACCAGCAGCAGCTCCAACTCCAGGGTCCGCAGCACCAGCAGCGGCTCCAACTCCAGGGTCCGCAGCACCAGCAGGAGCTCCAGCACCAGGGTCCTCAGGACTAGCAGCAGCTCCAACTCCAGGGTCCGCATCACTAGCAGCACCAGTAGAGCCTCCAGCACCAGCAGCAGCACCTCCAGCAGCTCCAGCACCAGCAGCGCTAGCAGCAGCACCTCCAGCACCTCCAGCACCAGGGTCCGCGACACGAGGCGCGCCACTCCGGAGAGTGCAGCGCCGCTCGTACCACTCACGGATCCGCTCAAGAGAGGGCAGCTCCCGCTGAGGAGGGGAGGCACCAGCACCAGTCCCAGTAGTACTCCTGGCTCCAGAGGCACCTCTCCGGAGGCTGCAGTACTGTGAGTACCACTCACGCAGCTGCTCCGAGGAGAGAGCTCCTCCAGGTGTAGGACTCCCAGGCTCAGCACCCCCAGACTCAGAACCCCAAGACTCCGGACTCCGCGGCTCAGCACCCCCAGGCTCAGCACCCCCAGGCTCAGTACCCTCAGGCTCAGCACTCCCAGGCTCAGCACCCCCAGACTCCGCACCCCCAGGCTCCGCACCCGCAGCCTCCGCACCCCCAGGCTCAGCACCCCCAGGCTCAGCACCCCTAGGCTCCGCACCCCCAGGCTCCGCACCCTCAGGCTCCGCACCCCCAGGCTCCGCACCCGCAGCAGGACGAGAGTCAACAGCTACCTCAACAGGCTCAACCGGGTCTACCTGGGACACACCTGAGGGAGCGGCACCCTGAGGGGGGAGGGGGTCTACCACAGCAGCACCTGGCGCGAGGAAGAGAGGCGGGGGGGGGGGGGGGGAGCGGGGCAGTGCGGTAGGGGAAGAGGCGGTAGTAGGGGACGGACTCGTCAAAAGTGACGTCCTGAGAGGGCAGGACCCGGCGCGAGGTGGGGTGGTAAAACTGCCAACCAGACGCGTCAGGGACAAAGCCAAGGAAGACACAGGGAACAGCGCGGGAGGAGAACTTGTTCGCGGACGTTTTGCGGACAAAAGCTCGAGATCCCCAAACCCGGAAACGCGACGCATCGCCAACCTCCCCCGTCCACAGCAGTGTGGGCGAGGTCTCCGGCAAGGAGACACGGGGCCAGAGGTTGAGCTGATGCGCAGCGTACCGGACCGCAAACGGCCACAGAAAGTGGGGGGCAGCCGCATGGATCAAGGAGGTACGGGCGACCTCCATGACTAGGCCAATGCGGCGCTCCGCAACCCCATTCTGCTGTGGAGAGGCCGGAAGCGTGAACGACTGCTCAATGCCGTGCTCAGCACAGTAGGCTGCCAAGAGGTCGGAGGAGAACTCACCACCTCTGTCAGAGTGCAAGCGCAGGACAGGAAAGTCCGAGTGGAAACGCTCGCTGAGCTGGAGACGAGCTCTGCGGATCCAAGGGATCAAAACATCAGGGACCTCACCCTTGGTGCGCAAGGGGAAGACCGTGGTGTAGCGCGAGTAGTCGTCAACAACTATCAGGAAGTACCTCTCCTGACCCTGACCACGGACGCGGGCTGGGCCCCACACGTCCATGTGGAGCGTCTGCAAGGGAGCAGTCGTCGGGGGAAACGAGGAGGAGTGAGGAGCGGCGCGCTGCCGCCCCTCGACACAGGGAAGACAGGGAGGAGCAGGCGAGGGTGGGAGGGGAGGGAGGACCCTGGGAAGACCAGAGACAAGGTACCGGGAGTGCATGGCACGAAGGCGCTGCACAGACGGGTGGCCAAGTCGGTGGTGCCAGAGGACAGTCTCGTGCGCCAGAGAGCGACACGAGCAGGGGGCCGACAGCTGACCTGACGCAGACGCAGACGCAGACGCAGCGACCTGAGGGGACTCAGTGGTCAGTGTGTACAGGTCCGACCCCGGCTGCCGAGTGAAGGTAGCCAAGTGGCGGCCCGTACGAGCACACGTGCAGTGTGTCACGCGCTCGTAGGCAGGGGTGAACTGGTGAACACCCCCGTCCTGGAGCGCACACCCTGCCACCAGGTTCGTAGAGAACGAGGGGAGGTGGAGACCTGACAGTGTGCCAGACGGGACCGCAGGACAGGGAAGGACAGTGGAGGAGGTCGCAACGACCGGGCCCCCAGAGGGGTCAGCGAGGGAGACTGCAACTGGCCGAGCAAGCGGCTCAAGGACAGTGCGGTCACGAAAGAAGCAGCGAGAAGCACCTGAGTCCAGTGTGAAGGTGTGTAGTGCCTCAGTCGACTCAGTACCAGGGGGCGCAGACGCACAAGCACCTAGAGCAGCAGCCTCACCAGCACCTGGGGTAGCAGACACGCGAGTACCTGAAGCGGCAGACGCACTAGTACCTAGAGCGGCAGCCGTACTGGTCCTAATGCCCGGGTCGGGCGGAACACACAGGTACTCAGCACCCTCTCCACTAGTAGACATCACATACATGGCAGTGAGAATAGCATCAAAGTCTAGAGCATAGATATCAATCCCCTTCTTCAGGAGATCAACCCAGCGGGGCAGCTCAGTGGCCTGAGGGAACTGAACACGCCAAGCGTCGTTGAGGCGAGCGAAGCAGCGCTGCGTGGCGTGCGGTCCCCCACACGGCTGACCAGTGCGGTCACCAGTGCGAATGACGTACGTGCAGCTAAAGCCACCCGCCCCCCCGCGCTGAGAGTACCACTCACGGACCTCCTGGGGCGACGGAGTGTGCTGCTGGCTCTGGCCACCGCCAGCGCCTCCACGACCACCACCTCCGCCCCCACCTCCTCGACCACCCCAACCCCTGCCGCCGCCGCGTCCACCGCCACCCCCACCACCGCCCCCGCCCCTGCCACCTCCCCCGCCGCTGCTGCCACTACCCCCACCGCTGCCACTCGCCCCTCCAGCCCCGCCACCACCCCCACCGCCGCCACCGCCCCCACCACCGCCTCCCCCGCCATCACCTCCGCCTCCCTTGCCCCCTTTGCCCTTGCCGCTGCGGCGTCCGCTCGAAGCAGACGCAGTCCCGACCTTCTCAGCACCAAGGAGGTCGACAGCAGCAGCAGAGGCGACAGAGGGAAGAAGGGGGGAAGGAGAACACCCCTCAAAGAACGGGGTGCGGGGGTCGCCACGAGAGGCACCTACAGCGACTATGCTAGCCTCAGCTGCAAGTAGTTCCTTCTCGAGGAGGGCAATGGTGAGCTCAGTAGGGCAGCGAGCTAGGAAGGAATCCCTGACTGCACGCAGAGAGTCAGGGAGGCGGGTGACTAGGTGGTAGAGAGTGAGCCAGAGCGGGGGGGGGTTCTTGGCAAGGAACTCATCAGGCATAGCGGCGCGGAAGCGAGCCTCACTAGTGCGGAGGTGCGTGATGAGGTCAGCGACTGTGTGGAAAGAGGACAGGTCGGGGAACAGGTAGGGAAGCGAGAGACGGCCTAGTGCGGCAGAGGCAGGTGAGGAGTAGCGGGCAACGACAGCAGTGTACAGTGCCTGCGCAGTCTTGTGCTGGCCAAAGTGCTCGCGTTCATCTATCGGCAGGGAGTTGCGAATAGCAAAGCGAGCGTGGGCGTCACGAGTCTGCCACTGTGAGCGGGCAGTGCTGTCAGCAGTAGTAGGAGGGGCAGTAGCATGGCCTAGGGCGTGATCGTACAGTGAGATGTCCTCCTTGGCAGTGAGCTGTAGGAAGAGGTGCAGGTCATCTAGCCAGGTGTCAAACTTCACTGGACGTCCCTCAGCATCGAAAGCTAGCACAGGAGGGCTAGCCATAGTAGCAGTAGGAGCAGTAGGAGTAGTAGGAGCGGTAGCAGTAGGTGCACCCTAACAACAGTAGGCAGCGCGACTCAGGTAGGGCGGCTCGGTCCAGAGAGGCTGTTCGGTCAGGACGGGCGGCGCGGTTCGGTTCAGGTAGGGCGGCGCGGCTCGGGTAGGGCGGCGCGGCTCGGTGTGGGCTGCGCGGCTCGGTTCGGGCGGCCTGGGTTTGGCGGGGCCGTCGCTGTCGCATGCAGGGCGGTTAGGGGCAGCGGGTGGGGTCGACGGGGCCTCTAAGGGGCGGCGCGGGGGTCGCTAAAGGGCGGCGCGCGGGGTCGACGGGGCCAGCGGGGCCTCTAAGGGGCGGCGCGCGGGGTCGACGGGGCCTCGAAGGGGCGGTGCGCGGGTCGCTAGAGGGCGGTGCGCGGGTCGCTAGAGGGCGGCGCGCGGGGTCGACGGGGCCAGCGGGGCCTCTAAGGGGCTGCGATGGGGCCGTAAGGGGCCTCTAAGGGCGAGCGCGGGGCCATAAGGGGCCTCTAGGGGGCGAACGCGGGGCCGACGGGGCCGCTAAGGGGCGGCGCGTGAAGGCGACGAGGCCGTAAGGGGCGGCGCGCGGGTCGCTAAGGGGCGGGTCGCGGGTCGCGGGGCCTTAGGGGGCCGTGAAAAACGAGGCGCCCTAGGGCGCAGGTAGGTAGGTAGGTAGGCAGTAGCGGTGGGCCCTAAAAAAAAACGGTCCTAGCGAAGGACCTGCTCTGAAACCATGTCAGAAGAACTGAACGAACATGAATGATTGAACTTGCAGTGAAATGAGTACAAGTACCTAACCTTAGAATTGTGTACCCCCTAAAGGCTAACCCACTGTAGCCTAAACAACCACAACATATATAATGTTTGACACCTTTGATTGCCGCGCGGTCGACTAATACCCAGGTGTCTCGGGACTCGAGCGCTTTGATCTCTGCGTCCATTGCTTCACGCCACTCCTTGCTGTGTGGTCCAGAGAGAGCTTCGCGCGGGTTTCGAGGCTCGATGACACGTGGCGCTTTCGAGGTTGCGGTGTGAAGCGCAAGAAGTTGTAATCCTGAGACGGTGCTGTCGTGACGCTATTGCGGGGTGACTTCCTGCACATCGTCATCATCGCTCTCTGGTTCAGGTGGCGCCGGTGATCCTGTGCCTCTGCCGCTTCCGCCTGTTCCGCCCATTCCTCCTCCCGAGGAATCGTCGTCGTCGTCGCTGCTGCGCCGATCCTCCCACGTGAACTCGCCTCTTATATCCTGCTCCAGTATTGCTGTAGCAGCTTCGTCTTCGGGCGTTGCGTAGCTGTGCCCGTCGTTCGCGTAAGCGCGATTCGCGTTCGTTTCCTCGTCGTGACGGAATTGGTCGAGGAAGAGGCGCTCGTAGAAGATTACATCGCGAGCGTGGGCGGTTTTCTGACTGAGAAGGTCCAGCACGATCCACGCTTTGTACTCGTGGCTGATGCCGAGGTGGATTCCCCAGCGCGCGCGGCTGGCGAATTTGCCGATGGTTGATGTCGGCGGGCGGTACTGCACCATGCACCCCCACACGCGGAGCATGGAGGTATCTCCTTTGGTCCCGGTCCATTTGACATGCGGGGAGAGGTTCCCGGTGATTGCGGTGGTTGAAAGCAGGTTGTGCACCCGCACGGCGTGGTGCATCGCGTAGGTCCAGTAAATCGGCGGCAGCTTTGACTGCTTCATCAGCTTCTTCCCGGATTGCCGCTGCGCGTGCGCTAACCAGAGGCGGAACACCTCGTAAGCTCTGTCGCGGGTCTCCACATTTGCGACCCATACGTAGCGCGTTCCAGCGTCGATGAAGGTGAGTGTGTATAGCTCGTCGTCGACTCCGCAATGTCCCACATTGAGGAAATCACTGTATACTTTGCGCAGCTTAGGGTAGCGGTTCGTTCCTGGCTCGAGCAGCGGGAACGGCTGGTGGCTTAGTGTAGCTTCGGGGCAGACGGTGCAGTTGCGCGGATGTGTCGCGCCTCTCACTTCGGTGCCGTCGGATGTGTCTCTCCTGGGGCAAAGAATCCGGCGTCGATGCAGTTCTTCAGTGTCGTGCGTGAAGGGTGTCCGAGGCGCTGGTGCCAAAGTGCATCGTCGGCGCGAAAACCAGAGGTGCGCATGTAGCGCGCGCGGGCTTCCTCCGGGTCTTCATCAGGTACGGGAGCAGGTTCTGCTGCTGCTTCCTCTGCATCTTCTTCTTCTGCCGCGGTGGTCAGCATCAGCGCCAAAAACTCTCTGTCACGAATTTCAGAGAGTGGAATGTTGGTCCCGGGATTGATTCCGAGCACGAAAGTGGGTTCGCGCGTTTCGGGGGCAGGTCCGTAGACGGTGCGGCGTGGAGTTGATGGTTCGTTGCCCCAGTTGATAGTGTCCCAGGGGTCGCGATGCGGCGGAATGTCAGGGGGAGGTGACGCGAGTGGGATATGGCGCGGGGGACGCCCGAGGGGAACAACTGTAGATCCCCCCCCCCCCCTTTTGTTCTTCGCGGGAAGTTCCCCAGCCTCCAGCAGAGGCGCCCAAGCCGCTCGTTTCGCCGCCAGATGCGGCACCCCATTTGCTAGTATCGGCCCTTCCCCACCCGCCGGCGCCCCCCCACCCCCCTTCATTGGAGGCGCTTTCTTCTGCTTCGGCGCCCCATGCGGCGCAAGCGAATGTTCCGCGTGCCTCGGCGAGGCTCTGTTGGCGAAGCTCTTCTGCTTCGCGGCGCGCCAATTCTTCCTCCTGTTCCACGGTGAGTTGTGTCGTGGGGTCGCGCCAATGGGGGTAAATCTGTAGAAAGTCTTTGCGGGTGTAGGGTCGTGGCACGCCACGCGCATCAAAGGTGCCGACGCCTGTTCCGCGCAGCATCCCTCGGAGGTGTTGAGAGGGGGGACCGATGAGAGGGTGCTCAGGCGTGCCGAACACGCCATGCGTGGTGACTTCGAGTTCCAATTGAGACATGCCTTCTTCTGGCGGCGCGTGGACTTCTGCTTCGGCGATGGCGGCCAGTCCGCGGCCGGCAACGGCGCTGGTTAACGTTGTCGGAGTGTGGCAATCTCTGCAGATGCCATCTGCGTCGGGGTCGTGCAGCGCCGTTTCGCGTGGGTGGGGATGGTGCGGCACCCACGGTCTTCCGTCAGGGTGCTTCCAGTCCCTGCGGTGGATGTGCTCGAAGCGCAGTGGCACGAGGTCGATTAACTCGTGCGAGTCGCCGCTGCAGTCGGGGATGTCGAAGTCTAGGACATACACTCCATTCTCGGAGTGTGCTCGTCCGATCTGCCTGCGGGGGAAGTTTCGGGACTCGTAGTGCAGCAGAATGTCGCGCGTCGCGCGATCCGTGCTGAGTTCGACGCCGCAGTCCATGAGCTGTGCGGCGGAAAGCAGGTTGAAGCGCAGGTTCTGGACGATCAGCACATCGTTGAGTGTGATGTGCGTGCGGCTTCCGCGTGCCTTGAGCACGACGATGCCTTGCGCACTTGCGCGCAGGCGTGTGTTGTTAGCCACGGTGACGTAGGTGACTGTCGGGGTGGCGACGGCGTTGGATATGTAACGCTCGGAGCTAACCATATGCTGTCCGCAGCAGCTGTCCAGGTACCAGGTGTTGAAGCGCTTGTTGTCGTCACGTGCGAGCAGCGCCAGTCGCGGCGTGACGATGTGCGGAGTGTCGAACTTCAGAAATTGCTCGCGCGAGAGCCAGTTACGTGGCGCCACCCGCATATCAGGTACGTGCGGGGGACTTTCAAGCAGCGGGACTGGGAGATTCCAGTCCTGGGCGTCGTCGTCGGTGAAGTCGTGGCGCGGGCTAAAAGGGTTGTTGTTGTTGAACGCGCCAATGGGGTGCGGTGCGGGCTCAGGTGAAGGTGAGCGCACGCGGCGACGACGCGATTCGCCTGTCATGGCCATGTTGCTCATGACGTTGCGTACTGGGGCAGTCGATGGTGACTGCTGCTGCTGATGCTGAACCGCTGGGTTCAGGTTGCGCGCGGTTGGGGGTTGATACCCCTGGGCTGGACGCACGTCGCCTCGTGCGTCTTGTCGGCCGGACCAGTTGCTCGGATTGGTCTGGCGAGGGCGGGATCGGTACTTGCATCGATCCGCCAAATGCCCAAAGTTCCTGCAGATTTTGCAGTAGAGGCGCCTCGGCCGTCGCTCTTCGTTGTTGTCGGCGTAGAAGGCGAGCCGTTCTCTTTCTCGTCGTGGCGCTGGTCGCTGCTGATCCATAACCTGTTGTTCGACGAGAAGTGCGGCGCAGAGGGCGGCCTCCGAGATGACCCCCTGCTGTCGGAGAAGCGCCTTACAGGGCCGCCATTCTGGGCCGAGCCCTTGAAGCACGATGTTCACGAAGATTTCTTCGGAGATCGAACTTCCTAGCTTCACGATTTGATCGCGAAGGCTCCGACAGCGATTGATGTAGGTGTTGACCTTCTCTCCTGAGACCATTTTGGTCTCTAGCAGCTGCTGAAGCAGTCGGCTCGAGGAAACGGAGTCCTTCGGCTGATACACGCCGTTCAGGTGGCGCCAGGCGTCGAGGGCTGGAGCAGCCGATGTCTTGTACGATCGGATGTTTAGTTGCTCCGCCGGCGACATGTTGCGAAGGAGAATTCCGTACGCCATCAGGGACTCGTTGTAGTAGCGAGTCCTGGCGTCGTCGGTGTCCTCAGCGGGTTCCGCGTAGCTCCCATAAAAAAATAATGGTAAATTTGGGCGTTCTGCAGCAAGAGCTCCAATTCGAAGCTCCAGGTATAGAAGTCTCTGCCGTCGAAACAGGTACTTGTCTTTATTTTTGATATGCTGAGGAACTTTGATTGTGCGGAGATAATTGCTTCTTCACTGGGACGGGGAGCCTTGGGGGTTGAGCCATTTGTGTCGAGGGAGAAGGTTTGCGGGACGGCGTTCTGCCCAGTTGGGGCCGGTTGAGATGGTTGCGAGGATGTTCCCGCATCGCCGTTCCGTAATGTTTGGAGCCCTTGCTCCAAGCTGGTGAGTCGCTGAAGAAGTTGTGCGAGGACTTCGGTGCCGATCGTTGTCGTGTTTTTGCTTGTCGCAGCCAGGTTCGGTTGCGCTTCAGCCGTCAGATTAGTCTGACCACCAGATCCTCCGGCCATTCTTACACGCGATCGTGTGCCGGACGCCACTTTCCGAATGTCGCAATTTTCGGGAGTGGTAGTGCTCTCATACCATGCTACGATCAGAAGTTGATCGTTCCCAGGATCTACTCGGGAAGGTTCGCACAGAGAAATGAAGTTGGTGGGCCCTTGACCTCAATAGCAGAGTGAATGTAAAATGCTTGAGATGAAATAAAACATGCAAATACAGCAAATATAAATATGAGTACAGGGAAGGCGAAACGTCCTAGCTAGCCATGTACTCTAAGGGGTACATTCCCTTATTCAAATTCATTCCCAACCGTGCGGCGCGTACAGTTACGAAACTGTTCCCGCCAAAGCCATCCTGCCTGCAGCTGTCCGATGCCATCTGCTCCGACGGTCCAGATGCAGCTTAACCGTCTGACGCTTCGAGTCAACTCTGACTCTTCGTGTTCATTCTCGATACTGCATGCTTCCTTTGCTGCGGTGAGGAGTGCACAGTAATGAACAAATATTACTATTCGTAACAGTGGAGGAATCTGATATGATACAGTGCCAATATTTTAATATTAGAAATACAAACAACAGAATAAAAGGAACTTGCAAGGGTTGGATACAAATAGCAAACCCTAACAAACCTGTACTCCATATGTGAGAGTACGACGGCTTATGCTGGCTTTGCTAGCTTGCCTGGACTTCATTATGCCATTACTAGCTTATGTTTATTTTATCTTGCATGTTTATGCTTGATTCCTAGGTTAGGTGCATTCCGATATGTTATTATAGTTATAGCACCGAACCAGGTTACGTGTACCGAACTCAAGCCTTTTCGGTTCCCACCGAATTGCTTTCTACCGAGTTCGGGAAGGTTCTGTTCGGGACGCTTCGTGACCCTCAGAACATTCGCGTACCACCTGGGTTACCTGCCTTGTGTCGAGACTACAAATAGCCTCGTGTTGTACCCAGGTGGATCATTCAATTGAAAGTAGACGAGCGATCATCAGTGACGATCGATGTGCGAATTGGTTACCCTATTCACTATGCTGTAACCATTCTACAGTGCGTTTTTTAGGCCAAAATTCTTGTACAGTATGTGAATGCGACCGATCGCTGATCGCGAGAGATCTGTGATAGGCATCAAAGCTACATTGATGCAAATGACCCGAGTCTACCGGGCGCGATTGATTCGGGAGCATGCCACTTCCTGAGTTTTTTCGCACGGCCAGAAATTGGAGTCGTCCAAACTGTCAACATTTCGCAGTGTTCCAACAGCGACTCGGGCCCCGCCAAGTGTGGTTGCCCTATGGGCGGCGATTGTCGCAGGTGTGTTTGGACGACACATGTATATTTGGGCCCGCGTCGCAGGCAGGCCAGCATTTTCGGGTGTGGAACAAAAAACCCCAATCTCAGGAGCGATCGTTACAGTAGACCGGTCACCACGTTTCGCCAATCGATCTGACCAATCGATTGTAAGGATCGATATATGCAGACGATCCCGCGATATTTGCATATTCAACGCGTCCTAAACCCTCTTTTCAGAGCTCGATCCTAGATCCTCACACTTGGTAATCAGAGCCCTTTTTCACGCGAAGTTTTTTCGACCACTAAAACCAAGTTTTCAAAAACCGCGGGGGCGACACCGACTTCGGGTACGTAAAACCAGTTATGTGTTTTTCACTTGTTGAACTACATTTGATGTTTAGGTTTTGTAGGCTACAATAGGGTAGTCACTAAGGGGTACAACCCCTTTAGGGTTTCATACTTGTATCACATTCTTCTCTTAGTTCATCATTCCTGCTTCTAGTTCTGACATGGTGTCAGAGCAAGTCCTAACCTAGGACCGCATTCTTAGGGCCCACCGTACCGCGCTACCCCACGGGTCGCACCTACTACTGTCGCCCTACCCTGCCCTGCGTTGCGCTGCTGTGCACGCCCTACCCTGCCCTGCCCGTGCGCTGCTCGCTGCTACGCGCCGTAACCTGCCCGCGCGCCTTTTTTTTTTTCAGCCGCGCGCCCTGCCCTACCCTCGCGCCGCGCTGCCTTACCCGCGCGCCGCGCTGCCCGCCGCAGCCGCGCACTGCCCTGCCCGTGCGCCGCCGCCGCGCCCCACGCACAGAGCCGCCCGTAAGCCGCCGCGCGCTGCCCTGCCCGTGCGCCGATGGCGCGCCCCGCGCCCTGCGCCGCCCGTAAGCCGCGCGCCTGCCCTGCCCGTGCGCCGCCCGCCGCTGCGCACTGCCCTGCCCATGCGTCGCCTGCCGCTGCGCGCCTCCCCTGCCCGTGCGCCGCCCGCCGCCGCACGCCTTCCCTGCCCGTGAGCCGCCCGCCGCCGCGCACTGCCCTGCCGGCCGGCTGCTGCCCTGCGTGCGCCGCCCGTCGCTTGCCCTAAAGCCGCCTTTTACCCTGCGCGCCGCCTGACTCCCGCCTTGCCGGCCGCTTGCACCTCTGCTTGCCGCCTGCCCACTGCCCTGCCGCCTTGCCGCCCTGCTCTGCTTCAGATGGCAACCTACAATGTTCTCACCTTTGACGCAGAGGGCCGCCCGATCGAATTTGAAACCTGGCTAGATGACCTTAAGCTCTACCTTCAGTGCGAGTCGAAGGATCGTGTGTCCCTGTTCGCTCATACGTCCGGTAGCTCTAGCGCTCCTGCAGACACTGCTGACGCTGACACTCGTGACCAGTGGCTTATTCGCGACGCTGCTGCTCGCCTAGCTGTGCGAAACCACCTACCGTTAGCCGAACGCGTGCACTTTAGCCAGCAGAAAACTGCTAAGGCCCTGTTCGACGCAGTTGTCGCTCGTTACAGCTCTCCTGCCACTACTGCGCTAGGCCGTCCCATCCTGCCCTACCTCTTTCCAGACCTGTCCGCCTTTCCCACAGTCGCTGATCTTATCACCCACCTTCGCACCAGCGACGCTCGTATGCGTGCTGCGACCCCCGCCGAGTTTCTTACCAAGAACCCCCCCCCTATTCACTACACTCTCTACCTCCTAGTCACTCGCCTCCCTGACTCTCTTCGCGCTGTCAGGGACCTCTTTCTCGCCATGGACCCCACAGAGCTCACTATCGACCTCCTCGAGAAGCACCTTACAGCGGCCGAGGTTAGCATTAACGCTGTAGGCGCTTCTCGTGGCACTCCTCACACCCCCTTCTTCGAGGGGTGTTCCCCCTCTCCCCTCCTCCCCTCTGTCGCCACTGCTGCTGCTGTCGACCTCCTTGGTGCTGAGGAGGTTGGGGCTGCGTCTGCTCCTAGTGGGAGGCGCCGCAGCGGCAAGGGCAAGGGAGGCAAGGGTGGTGGGGGTGGCGGGGGTGGAGGCGGTGGTGGAGGCTGGGGTGGCGGAGGAGGAGGCGGTGGGAGTGGCGGGGGTGGAGGTGGGGGTACTGGTGCCGGGGTCAGTGGTGGCGGCGGCAGTGGGAGTGGCAGCGGCGGGGGTGGCGGCAGTGGGAGTGGTTGTGGCACCGGTGGCAGCGGTCGCGGTGGTGCGGCCCAGCGCGGAGGTTCTGGAGGTAGCCAGGCGCAGCAGCAGCAGCGCCAGCGCGCGCCCCGTACGCCGCATGAGCTTCGTGAGTGGTACGCGCAGCGTCAGTCGCCTGGGGGTGGTAGTACCTTCCCGTATGTCATTCGTACGGGTGAGCGCGTTGGTCAGCCGTGCGGGAGGCTTCAGACTCAGCACCGCTGCTTTTCCCGCCTTTGTGTCGCCTGGCGCGCTCAGTTTCCGGACTGCACTGAGATGCCCAACTGGGCGGAGCTGCTTAAGAGGGGCGTAGATATCTTTGATCTTGACTATGATGCTATCCTTGCTGCCATGTATGCATTGACTGTTAGTGCTGAGGGTGACTGTTACCTGTGTGTTCCGCCAGACCCTGGTATAGAGGCTACTACTACAGGTGCTTGTGAGTCTGCTGCCCTAGGTGCGTGCGAGTCTGCTGCTCTAGGTGCTTGTGAGTCTGCTCTCTCATATACTCCGCCTTGTGAGGCCTCGTACACTTTCACACTAGACTCAGGTGCCTCCCGCTGCTTCTTTCGCGACAGCACCACAGTCACACCACTCCCTGCACCTGTTCCGGTCTCTCTTGCTGACCCCTCCGGGGGCCCTGTCCTTGCACGTTCCTCCACTGTCCTCCCGTGTCCGGCGGTCCCGTCTGGCTCACTTACAGGTCTCCATTCCCCCTCGTTCTCCACGAACCTGGTGAGTAATGCCGTCATCCAGGATGAGTGGGTTGACACCTTCACCCCTGGAGGACGTCGTGTGGCGATCTGCACGTGTGCCCGCACGGGCCGCCACCTGGCCACGTTCACCCGTCGGCCTGGGTCGAGTCTGTACACCCTGACTGTCGGGTCTCCCCAGGTTGCTGCTACTGGTCAGGTGTCCTTGTCCGGTCCGGAGTCTGCCCCCTGCTTGTGTCGTCGCCTGTCGCACCAGACTCTCCTCTGGCACCACCGCCTCGGTCACCCCTCTCTGCCGCGCCTCCGCAGCATGCACTCCCGTCTGCTTGTCTCTGGTCTTCCCCAGTGGCTGCCCTCGCTCCCACGCACGCCTGCCCCGCCGTGTCTTCCTTGCGTCGAGGGGCGGCAGCGTGCCGCTCCTCACTCCTCCTCGTTTCCCCCGACAGACGCTCCCCTGCAGACCCTCCAGAAGGACGTGTGGGGCCCGACCCGCGTCCAGGGACAGGGCCGCGAGCGGTACTTTCTGCTGGTTGTTGACGACTACTCGCGGTACACCACGGTCTTCCCCTTGCGCAGCAAGGATGAGGTAACTGCAGTTTTGATCCCTTGGATCCGCGCTGTTCGTCTCCAGCTCCGCGAGCTGTTCTGCACGGACTTTCCCGTCCTGCGTCTGCACTCTGACAGAGGTGGTGAGTTTTCCTCCGACCTCTTGCGGGACTTTTGTCAGGGGGAGGGCATCCTCCAGTCGTTCACGCTTCTGGCCTCTCCGCAGCAGAATGGGGTTGCTGAGCGCCGCATTGGCCTAGTCATGGAGGTCGCTCGCACCTCCATGATCCATGCGGCTGCTCCCAATTTTCTGTGGCCGTTTGCGGTCCGGTACGCTGCGCATCAGCTCAACCTCTGGCCCCGTGTCTCCTTGCCGGAAACCTCGCCCACACTGCGGTGGACGGGAGAGGTTGGCGATGCGTCGCGTTTCCGGGTCTGGGGCTCTCGTGCCTTTGTCCGCGATACCACCACGGACAAGCTCTCCGCTCGCGCCATTCCCTGCGTCTTCCTTGGCTTTCCTACTGACGCGCCTGGCTTGCAGTTTTACCACCCCACCTCGCGCCGTGTTCTGTCCTCTCAGGACGTCACGTTTGACGAGTCGGTTCCCTTTTACCGTCTCTTCCCCTACCGCACTGCCTCTCTCCCCCCCCCGGCGCTCTTCCTTACTCCAGGTCCACCCTCGGTAGACCCCCTCCCCCCTCAGGGTCCTGCTCCCTCAGGTGTCTCTCAGGTAGACCCCCTTCCCCTGGTAGAGCCTGTCGAGGTCGCTGGTGACTCTGGTGCTGCTAGAGGAGGTTCTGCTAGGGGTCCTGTGTCTGGGGGTGCTGAGCCTGCGGGCGCAGGGCCTGAGGGTGCTGATCCTGGGGGTGTGGAGCCTGGGGGTGCTGAGCCTGAGCGCGTGGAGCCTGGGGGTGCTGAGCCTGAGCGTGAGGAGCCTGGGGTTGCTGAGCCTGGGGGTGCTGTGCCTGAGCGCGTGGAGCCTGGGGGTGCTGAGCCTGGGGGTGCTGAGCCTGAGCGTGTGGAGCCTGGGGGTGCTGTGCTTGAGCGTGTGGAGCCTGGGGGTGCTGAGCCTGGGGTTGCTGAGCCTGAGCGCGTGGAGCCTGGTGGTACTGAGCCTGAGCGTGAGGAGCCTGGGGGTATTGAGCCTGGGTGCCGCCGGCAGGAGCCTCTCTCCCCGCAGCAGCTGCGTGAGTGGTACACTCGACGCTACTGCCGTTCGCGTGGCGCTGCTGGTGCTGGGGGCTCGGCCACTGGAGCTGCTGGAGCTGCGGGCGCTGCTAGTGGTGGCGCTGCTAGGGCTGGAGGTGCTGGGACTGCTGGACCTACTGACGCTGCTGGTGCTGGAGGAGCCCCTGGTGCTGTTGGTCCCGGAGGTGCTCGTACTGGAGGTACTGGAGCTGCCGGGGCTGGTGGTGCTGGTCCCGGGGCTATTGGAGCCGTCGGTGCTGACACTGGAGGCGCTGGAGCTGGAGACCCTGGGATTGGAGGTCCTGTTGCTGGAGGCGCTGACGCTGGAGTTCCTGGTGCTGGAAACACTGGGGCGGGAGGAGTTGGAGCTGGTGACGCTAGCACTGGAGGTGCTGCTGCTGGTGGTATTGCGCAGCGGCGTCTGTTCTTCACTCCGCCGTCGCCGTCGTCTCTCCCGCCGCCTGACTCCGTGCTTCGTCAGGTTCTTACCCTCCCGTCTTCTACTGGTTTTCCGTTACAGCCTGGCTCTCCGCTGCCTGCTCCTTCTCCTTACACTGAGCAGACAGACTCGCTTACAGAGCGTCGTGAGCCTGCGTCTCGTCCTGCCTCGCCTGTTCGCGCCGCTCGCACTGCTCGCCGTGTCCCGCGTCCGCGTCCTCCTCCTGTGCTAGGTACTCACACCATGGCACTTCGTCCCTCCTCTGCTCCACAGCGCGTCCCACTGCCGTCTCCTCCTGCGTCCTCTCTTCCTGAGCTTCCTGACCCTGAGTCTGACGCTGTTCGTGCTGCTAGTCCCACCGTCATGCGTCTTCTAGCTACTGTTGTCACTGACCCGTCGTTTGAGTTTGCTGCTGCGTCTGCCTTAGTTGCTGAGCTCGTTGACTTTGCTGCTGTGTGTCGTCTAGACTACGCCGCCAGTCTTGTTGCTGAGTCTGCGTCTGTCTGTCCTCCGTCTGTCGGGGGTGAGTGTGCTCTTGGCACGGACGTCCTTGAGGACAGGCAGGAGGAGCTCGACTGTCTTGCGGCTGCTGTACCTCATCTCGTGGCCTGGCTGCTTGCCCCTGAGGGAGACCCCGATGCACTGGACATCCCGACCCCGCGCTCTTACACAGAGGCGATCTCGGGTCCCTACTCCTCTCAGTGGCAGACAGCCATGGATGCAGAGATGGCATCCTGGAAGTCCACAGGCACCTACGTCGACGACGTTCCCCCTCCTGGGGCGAACATCGTCGATGGCATGTGGATTTTCAGGGTGAAGCGGCCGCCGGGTTCTCCACCTGTCTTCAAGGCTCGTTACGTTGCACGAGGCTTCAGTCAGCGACAGGGAGTTGACTTCTTCCAGACCTTCTCCCCTACCCCGAAGATGACTACTCTTCGGGTGCTGCTGCACGTTGCCGCTCAGCGTGACTACGAGCTTCACTCTCTTGACTTCAGCACAGCATTCTTGCAGGGCAGCCTGCACGAGGAGATCTGGCTGCGCCGCCCTCCTGGCTTTACTGGGTCGTTTCCTCCTGGTACCCAGTGGAGCCTCCGTCGGCCAGTCTACGGTCTCCGCCAGGCACCCCGTGAGTGGCACGACACACTGAGGACGACACTTGCGGCGCTTGGGTTTGCTCCTTCGACTGCAGACCCGTCGCTGTTCCTCCGCACCGACACGTCGCTGCCGCCGTTCTACATCCTCGTGTACGTCGACGACCTGGTCTTTGCTACTGCTGACACTGAGGCACTCGCTCTTGTGAAGTCGGAGCTGCAGAAGAGACACACGTGCACATACCTGGGTGAGCTGCACAGCTACCTTGGCTTGCAGATCACCCGGGACAGAGCACACCGCACCATCACCTTGACTCAGTCACACATGGTGCAGCAGGTCCTTCAGCGCTTCGGCTTCCAGTTCTTCTCAACACAGTCCACTCCTCTGTCTACCGGTCACTCGCTCTCAGCTCCACCTTCGGACGAGTCCGTAGAGCCGAGTGGCCCGTACCCAGAGCTTGTGGGCTGCCTCATGTACCTGATGACTTGCACACGACCTGACCTTGCGTACCCTCTTAGCATCCTGGCTCGCTACGTTGCGCCTGGGAGACACAGGCGAGAGCACTGGGAGGCTGCTAAGAGGGTGCTGCGCTACTTTTGCAGTACATCAGGCATGGGGCTGGTGCTTGGAGGACGGGGTGACGTTGTCCTCACTGGACACTCAGACGCCTCTTGGGTTGACGACCTGGCTACACAGCGGTCGTCGCAGGGTTACACCTTCAGCCTTGGTTCTGGTTCTGTCTCTTGGCGGTCTACCCACTCGTCTTCTGTTCTCAGCTCCAGTTGTGAGGCTTAGATCTACGCCACAGCCATGGCTGCACAGGAGTTACGCTGGCTTACTTACCTGCTGACTGACTTGGGAGAGCGGCCGCGTTCTCCTCCAGTTCTGTACGGTGACAACAAGGCAGCCCTTGCCTTGTGTCAGGAGCACAGACTGGAGCACAGGACAAAGCATATCGCTCTGCGTTACTTTCTTGCTCGAGAGCTACAGCAGCGCGGCCAGCTTCGCCTTGCTTACGTGGACACGCGGGCGAACACAGCTGATATATTCACCAAGGCACTTCCGCCTAGTGATCATCAGCGTAACTGCATTGCTCTAGGTCCCGTGCCTACGTTCTTACACTTGCTTACTGCTTGACCTTGCTTGTACTGTGATTCATTATATATTCCTGCATGCCTACTCTTGCTAGGTAGTGATCACTACACTGTTTGCTCTCTCTTATATAACTATGCATGTGAACTGGCCATGTGGCCTTTGTGCTTGTGCTCGAGGTGTGTGGTGACGTTGTGATCCACCCAGAGCTTGCTTTGCTTTTCTTGACTGGTCTTGAGACCACTTGTTCTCCCCCACTTTGCCTATGGGGGTGTGTTGAACTACATTTGATGTTTAGGTTTTGTAGGCTACATTGGGGTAGTCACTAAGGGGTACAACCCCTTTAGGGTTTCATATTTGTATCCGATTCTTCTCTTAGTTCATCATTCCTGCTTCTAGTTCTGACATCACTCCCACTCGTTTCGTTTTTTCGGACGCGCAATGTCAGGCATGGAGGGCCAAGGCGACAATTACGCGACCACCCATGACATCGCCAACCTTCGCACCGACGTGGAGCAGACGCAGGCGGCGATTCGGCGAATCGAGGCCCTCCTATGGAACCAATCGGCAGCCGCCACCGCAGCAGTTAATGCAGCAGCGAACGCAGCAGCGACAGCAGCAGCAACAGCAGTAGCGGCGACACCGACATTTCACGGCCCAATGGCACCACCTTCGCCGAACCTCGAAGCAGCTCGCCCGAGGCTCCCCGAAGCGTTCGATCCAAGCGCGAAGGGATCGGACGTTCGACGATTCGTGGCGACCCTCGAAATTTATTTCGAGGCCATTGGCTTTTTGACCCCGACATACGACGCAGCACGAATTTGGCTCGCAGCGACACTGTTGCGGGGACCAGCACTCGAGTGGATTTACTACAATGACGTGGCCCGCCGGGAGAAAACGTGGGCGCAGTTTCCGGGTGACCTCATCGAACGATTTGATCCGATAAATTCAACGTACATGACGCGGCAGCAGATACACCGACATAAACAGTACGGGAGTGTAGCACAGTACACGCAGTAGATGGAGCAGCTTTTTAACCGCATTATCGACCTGACTGAGTGCGAAAGAATCCAAGCGTACACGGAAGGGTTAAAAATGGAGATTCGCCGACAGGTCATTGCAGCGAACTACAGTAACTACCGCGACCTCGTACGTGCAGCCGAACGTTACGACGCATTGACACGTGGTCAACCCGAAACACGACGCTACGGGTCGAATCGTACATTTGGCACGGAGCGATCGGCACCCCCCACGTTCGCCGAACCGATGGATATCGACAAATTTGACGCGAAGCAGCAGCCGACAAAATGCGAATTTTGCGGCGCAGCGGGACATCAAATCCTGTCGTGCTACAAAATGAAGAAAGCATGTGCGTCACTGCTGGTCGGCAACAGAACAGCACCCCTGAAGTAAAAAAAAGGGAATCGCCAGTAGCCGCGGATCGACCTGGCGATCGCGTAAAGATCCGAAAATAGAAAAAGGGCGACGACGTGGCGACTTCGGAGCGGGCGAAAAAAAAGAGAAAATGTTGGTGCGAATATAAAACGTCACGATCGGCCGGCAACAGGGGAAATCGCCGAGGCGAATAGGGGCTCCGTGAAAAAAGACTCTGCACCGACCGGGAAACTCCAGCCGAACACCCACGAAAGTAAGAATTCGTTAAAAGTATCCTATAAAGATACTCTAACGAAAAATATTGCTTCTCGTGGTTTTCAAGCCTTTGAAAAATTCAGGGGAGATTTAGAGGCCAAGAAAAAGCCTTTAGAAATTATTCAGGTACCTGATAGGTTGGGCAAAGTACTACGGAGCGTAGAAAAGGGTCGTGCATTCCGTGGGTTTACTATTCTCTCCCCACAGCACAGTGTTAAGGCTCCCTGTTGCCCACAGGTGAAGCCTACACAGCTGCAAAGGCTTAGAGGAAAATTCCAGGCTCAGGAGAAGTTGTTCAAGCCTTGGAATAATCCTCCTACCCCTCAGGTGAACTTAGAAGTGAAAAGTGCTGAGTCAGGTATAGGAAATAAGGATGGTAATGCCTTTGATGTACCCTTTGATCCTATTAATGAGACCCTCTTTGGCTACTCAGCGCAGCAGAAACCACTACTCCTCGAGGTGTTATGCAAAGGACGACGCCTCCAGACTCTGGTGGACAGCGGAGCATCACACTCAGTATGTGACCGCGACGCATTGGAGAAAATTGGAGAGAAGGCGGAGGAGACCCGGTTCTCAGCAACAATGGTGGACGGTACGAAGCTTCCCATCCACGGCAAAACATCACTGCAGCTGCACATAGGTGCGTTGAGATGGAAGCCGACGTTGCCGATCACGAACATGAAGGGGTTATATTTCATCTTGGGGCGAGACTTTCTGAAGCGGTTCAACCCCGAGATCGACTGGGTCAACCGGAAGGCATGCATCTACAACAACGGGAAACGAGTGGAGCTGAGAAGCTGGACGGATACAGGGGACGTTCCTGAAACGACACTGGCACGGTTCGAACGGACGGTGAACGAGAGTAACACGGGTTACTTAGCACTGGTCATGGCAGCAGAATTGGAGGAGAAGCCGAGTTCGGAGCTACCTGCAGCAGTGAAGGAGGTCTTGGAGCAGTACAAAGACATCATGCCAGACGACCTACCTGCAGGAGTACCTCCAGAACGCACTCACAAACGCGAGATCGTGGAGGAACCAGGTGCGAAACCTGTCTCACGTACACCATACCGATTGAGTCCGACAGAACTGACAGACATGAAGAAGCAGATAGAGTATCTACTGGACAGACAACTGATCCGCCCATCCACCTCTCCCTACGGTGCACCAATTCTCTTCACTCCAAAACCAGACGGTAGTTTACGGATGTGCATCGACTACCGCACACTGAACAAACAGACAATCAAGGACAAATACCCCATACCGCGCATAGACGATCTTCTCGATCAACTGCGTGATGCAACAGTGTTCTCGAAGCTGGACCTACGGTCGGGTTACTGGCAGATCAAGATGGTGGACAACTCGATCCACAAGACAACATTCCGTACCAGATACGGCTCCTATGAACACTCGGTGATGCCGTTCGGACTCTGCAACGCACCAGCGACGTTCCAGGCGGAGATGAACCATATCCTACGACCCCTGCTGGACGAGTGCGTAGTGGTGTACCTGGACGACATACTCATCTACTCCAAGAACATGAAGGAGCACATGGAGCATCTGCCAAAAGTGTTCGAGATCCTGCGGAAAAATAAGTTCTACGTGAAGTTGTCAAAGAGCGACTTCGCCCTGAAGAAGGTGCAGTTTCTCGGGCACATGGTGAGTGCGGATGGTGTACACTTGGACCCGCGGAAATTGAAGCCGTTAAAAACTGGAAAGTACCGGAGAACGTGAAGGAGTTGCAGCAGTTCCTCGGCTTCGCCAACTACTACAATAAGTTCGTGCCGCAGTACGCTAAGATAGCAGCGCCACTGACCAACCTACTGAAAAAGGATACGCCCTACAAATGGGATACTCCTCATCAGCAAGCCATGGAGCAGCTACAGACAGCACTGACTACAGCACCAGTACTCATCCTACCGGATCCAGACAAAGAATACGTGGTGGAAGCAGACGCTAGTGACCAAGCAGTCGGAGCAGTACTGATGCAAGATCACGGACGCGGTTTGCAGCCCATCGCCTACCTCAGTAAGAAGCTACACGGAGCAGAACTGAATTACCCCATCCATGACAAGGAAGCCTTAGCGATAGTCATAGCCATCAAGGTGTGCAGATGTTACCTAGAAAGAGCCAAGACTATAGTCTACACCGACCACTGCAATCTCAAATACCTGAAGTCGCAGCCGACACTCTCACGACGACAGGTGCGGTGGGTGGACTTCTTGGAGACCCACTTCCACTACGACATCGTCTACAAACCCGGGCTACACAACAAAGCTGACGCGTTGAGCCGCCCCGGTCATGTAGCAGGCATCCAACTCGACGGGATGAACCCTCTTATCAAGGGTCTATTCCAACGTGGGTACTCCATGGATGCAGAGATCGCTACGGCAGAGAAACAGAAGCTGTTACAGTGGGAGAAAGACTTAGCTGTAAGGAAGGGTTCAGGAAAGATTTGGGTACCGAACTATGCCCCGCTACGGTAGCTTCTGCTGGAGGAGTTTCACGACGTACCATATGCGGTGTTGATTGTGTAGGTGGTTGTAGTATTTTGCTCTAGCTGGTTGTGGGCTAAGGGTTTGGGCAAAATGTGGTGGTTAGACTTGTTGCGGGCTGGAATTGATCTCGCACCCAACAAGCACCAACAAACCTTTGCTATTCACTACAACACCTTTGGTGTTGCTAGTTTGGCATTTTGGGTTGTTGGGGATTGTTGTAGGGCGAGGGTTGGGTTGGTAGGGTTTGACAAACTCGTCACTTAACAGATCTGGTCTCTTGCTTAAGCCATTCCTAGATCTATTCCATGGCTGCCAAGTAAAACCGCCAGGATACCCCGTCGCACATAAATCGCGATAGCGATCGGCCTAGATCTTGGTTGAAAGCGTGCTTTATCATTCTGGAACGTAGAGATTAAGACCTTTCCAACGCGTACCTGCTCATATTTTTAGGTTACGTGAGCTGCACGCAATGGTTCGCCGAAGTCGGCAGACTTAATCTCTTGTTACGCTCTCCAGATTCGCGCGCTTTCCATCATGCGGGACATTTCGAGAGCAACA